CAAAGTAGTGGTAATTTCATCCATCTGAATGCTGGCTCCTGTAAATGCCCCAGTTTATCAGCTGTGACTCAGTAGGTCTCTCCCTGCTTTCTGAGATTGGAAGGTGGTGGGTTTTACAGTCACACTCCACAGCACAGAATGCCATACTACAGTAAGGGCTTGCATTCTATGAGTTTTTTTTTCAAATGAGCAGTGCAATGTTCTCTGGTCTTCTCAAGTGGGTTGAAAGAATGGTCTGGCAACGTTTAGAGATAGAGGTGGGGAGTGACTCTCCCTTGCCATTTCTGAAGAAGGGTCCCGACCCGAAACGTCAGCTCTCCTGCTCCTCTGATGCTGCCTGGCCTGCTGTGTTCATCCAGCTCCACACTGTGTTATCTCAGATTCCAGCCTAGGTAGTTCTTACTATCTCATATTGAATCTTCATCCAACTCAGCTCAACGCACACATAAACAGAAAGTGCTGGGAAAGCTCAGCAGGTCTGGCAGCATCAGTAGTGAGAAATCAGAGTTAACGTCGAGTGACCCTGAGAACTCAAGAGATCAACTCAGGTCACCTATTGGTCGGTGCTATGTATAGGAGCCTGCTGAGGACAAATTGAGCGCTTGAATGTGAAAAAGAAAATCGGCCGATAGAGAGCTTTGGGACTGCTCGAGGTCAGGAAAGACTCTCGTCTGTTTTGGGGAGAGAAAAAAAACCGCAAGTGACTCATGACAAAAAGCAGAGAACCGGCTCGTCTTTGACATGCGCTGGCATTATCTCGCCAAGGCTGCAATATTTACAACCAGGAACTGCTAAAGAGGACGGCTTTAACTTCAATCAGATGGGGGAGGGAACACAAAGAGAGTGCGTAAGTTTCTTTTTCGTCAAATTGCTTGGTGACTTTCTCCGGAAATTGCACTGTCATCATTCAATTTCACCTGGTAGGGACAGAATTATTGAGAAGTGTTGCGTGTTTCTGCATCAAACCTGTGGGACGTGTTCTGTGCCGTGCTCCAGTTTTGATTTTGCGTCTACACACTCCCAACCCCGGAGAAACGGGGTCTGAAACGCAGCCAGGAGCACGTACCAGCTAGTGAACTTACCCCGAGTTTGCAGCCATGGGTTCCTCTTTGAAGCCAACTGCGTACGGGTCATGGACTGAGTGAGCGAGTGAGGTAGGTGTGCGAAAGTTGCGATATCTCTCGCTTGTTTTGTGTTGATGTCGATGTCTGTAGAGGTCGCCCTCCCTCCCACCCAGTCAATGCAAACGTGACGGGCAGCACGATCCTCAGCGGTAGGTGCACTAGACACTGATATTGGCTCGTCAAAGATCACCCAACACAGTAAATCCCCGGGAGACCTTCAGACACACACACGCACACACACACATAAAGTCCATCGTTACAAATTTGGGATAGAGAGAGAGAGAGAACGTGCATCTGAAGAGGCATATCGAACTGAAACTATTAACTCTTGCATCTCTCTCCAGAAATACTGAGTTTCTTGCGCACTTTTAAGACCAGAGGAAAGAGGAACAGGAATAGGCCATGCGGCCCATTGTGCCTGCTTCTCCAATCAATAGGATCATGGCTCATACGACATCCCTCGCCTCCACTTTTCTGCCCCGTCCCTATAACCTTTGGTTCCTGTGCTGATTCAGAATCTATCTCAGTCTGAATCATACGCAAGGACTTTGCCCCTGCAGCTCTCTGTGGCAAAAAAGTTCCAAACACACTCAACCCTCAGAGAAGAATTTTTTCCTCATCTCAGTCTTAAATTGCAATCATTTTATTTTTGGATTATGCCCTGTGGCCCTAGATTCTCCCATGAGGGGAAACATCCCTCTCAGTCTTTCTGCGCTTTTCGTCCCTCTTTAAAATCAGATCTGCAGAACCCTTTGCTTTAAAGGTGAAAATGTACAGCGGGTCAGGTAACGTGCCACCAACAATGTTTGTTGGGAGCTTTCCCACCAGGGGGTGGGGAATGATCTGGATTCTATCCAATTGAATTCACACACCTGATGTTTTGCTCTATGGATGCCTCATCTGTATCTGTAGCCGATTCCTCCAAATGTGATTGCACCAAGACTGGCCGAGGCATGAGCCCCGGGTTACAAATCCTGAGCTCTGTCCACCGTGGGGCTGAAGTCTCCTTGGGTTTCACATGCGTAGATTTACCTTCAGCGAATGCTGGTCCCAAAGGGTTTTTTTTAACCTGGTGATTTGGACTGAAAATCCACCCAAACCGGGATATTTTCTATCTACTCGCCCAGCAGCTTTGGCGCTATAATGTGAATGAAACTTGAGTGTCCCGTTCTGAGGAAGGGTCACTCGACCCGAAACGTTAACCCTGATTTCTCTGCACGGATGCTTGCTGAGGTTTTCCATTTTTGTCTCTGATTTACAGCATTTCCGCAGTTCTGAGATAACAAGGTGTAGAGCTGGATGAACACAGCAGACCAAGCAGCATCAGAGGAGCAGGAAGGCTGACGTTTCGGGCCTGGACCCTTCTTCAGAAAATCCTTTCCGCAGTTCTTTTTGGTTTTTTTAGAGTGTCCTGGGATTAGACTGCCATTTTTTTAAGTAAAAGAAATCCCTTGACCCAGCGCTTGCTGAATTCTCTCCTTCCTCCATCTCTCTCTCTCTCACCCACCTCCCAAGCTCATCCAGGATTCACCCTCCCCTTTCCCAGGACAAGAGATCTTAGCAATTGCAGAGGGAGGAGCTGGTTTTGCTGCCTTTCTGATTTGTGGCTGCCTGATGTTGAGAGGAGGTGGGGGGAGGTCAACAAGGTTATGTTTTAAGTTGCCTGCTGCTTCTTCAAATATAAACTGGACCCATCCTCTTAGTCCAACCCCCTCGCTCCTCTCTCCACAACCTTCATTAACCAGAACGCTGGGACTCACCTTCCGCTCGCTCTCTGCGTTGTCATTGGCGTCACTAAGTTTGTGTGCAATCTGCTTGGATTTTTTTTTCCTTCTCCCTCTGGTCGTTTTTATCCCCCCATCGTACGGTACGTATAAATAATGTCTGCAGTCTCGGTGCACGTTTATGAGCAACCCTATCCACCACACGCATAGATACAAGATGTGGTGGTAGCTCTTTCTGCAGTGCAATTGCTGCCGGGGTTGAATTTTTTTTTGTACAGACCCCCCTGTAAAATCTACCGTTTTCCAACCCCCCCCCCCCCCCGACCCCGGGTCTCCCCAATCTGTGCCTCATGGAGAAGCCGGCGGTGACCTCCGGGCTATGCATGCCGCGGAATTTCAGTTGCATCGCCGGTTTGTCAGGGAGCTTGGCCGAGGAGTATGTCCTGGCCTCGATGGGAGACGGGGAGAACTGCAAACGCCAGGGTCAGGCCGACAAGCAACGCAGCCGGGACGGAGCCAGCGGCAGCAACAAGACCCTGAGCCCCGGGCAGAGGAGACGGGCCAAGTCCCTGCCGGCTCCCGGGGGCCGAGCGGTCACCGTGCTGACCCGGGCAAGGAGCAAGAAGGTTCGCTTCGCCGACTCGCTGGGTCTGGAGCTGACCACCATCCGCCACTTTTGCGACGCCGAGGTACCCCATGTTCCCCAGAGGGTGATGGCCAGGCTCCGGGAGCAACCCCCCGACCACCTGCTCAGCAACAAAATGATGGCCATGTTTCTAGACAGTCCCACTCGCCTCCTGGAGCCCCTGTTCAGCAACCCGGGCAGCTCGCCTGAGTTCGAGCACAGGCTCCGGCACGACCGCGTTTGCCTGGAGAGCATCTCCACCGACCAGTTCAGCGTCCTGGGGCTGGTCAGGGTGGTCAACATCGCCTACGAGAAGCAGGTGACGGTCAGGTACACCCTCAACCAGTGGGACTCCTACATGGACGTCGCTGCCGCCTACACCGAGCAGTCCGCGGACCGGAGCACGGACACTTTCTCCTTCAAACTGGTGGCCCCCGTCTTCCTAGACACGGGAGGCACCCTCCAGTTCGCCATCCGCTACTTGGTGGCGGGCCGGGAGTACTGGGACAACAACAAGGGCTCTGACTACCAGGTAAGAAGCCACAAGTTCAAAATCTCCCCACCTAAAGACTGGGAAAACGGCTGGATCCACTTCATTTGAAAAAAAAGGGACAAGAAGACGTTCCTATCTCTACCAGAGCCTGTACTATTAATTTAGCATGTCATTTGTGTCCACGATGAGAGATGAGGTTGTAATTTTGTTTCTGTTTCAAGCTCTTCAACTGTTATCACTTTAAAAGATGGACATTAATTCAGTTCTGTGTTTTTTTAAGAAAAAGGAAAGAACTGTTTTTATTGGGAAAGTTGGTCACAATTTTTTAAAGTCAGAAGTTGACTTGAGTTTGTTTTTTTGTTTGGGAAGGGATTCCTGTGTTTCGCCAGCACTTTTCTGTTTTTTTTAATTTTTGCTGATATTTATGTGACCAGGTTTTCCTCAGCACCAATGAGTAACAGGAAACCTATGCAAAGGGAGGAAAAATGAGGTCACATCCAATCTACAGCCATAGATCGATAGAGATAGGGGTTAGCTTCTGTTGCAGAAGCCATCTTAGACGTGGATAATATTTTTAACTCTTTTTTAATGCACTTTGCAGTTCCAAAGTGGCACTTTCTATTCATTATACAGAGACCAATGTAGCTCATTCTCAAAGCATTATGAGTAATAGCATTTTTAAAGGAAAAAAAAGTGTCTTAGTAAAACATTTAGTTTTCACTTCCGCAAGCACGCTATAAGTCACATCAACACACACCATGGAGCTATTTCCTCTAGCCCTTATCCCTTTCCAGTGACTGGCAGTATTCCAGAGCAGTGACCTGATTAACCTTTCAGTATTGAGAAGGGCACTGTCAAGGAATTAAATATCATTCTTAGGGCTAAAGGGATCAGAGGGTTTGGGGAGAAAGTGGGAACATAGGAGTGATTTGGATGATCAGCCCTGATCATATTGGATGATGGAGCAGGCTCGAAGGGCTGAATGACCGACTCCTACTCCTGTTTTCTATGTTTCTATAACAATGGAGGTCAAAGCAAGTTGATTATAATGACCTTGAGGAAGTTAGGAGAAGGGGAAGTGGTGTCAAATGTAGATTTGTTAGATAAAATTTTAAAGACTAGTGAAGTAAACAACCAGAGAAGCAAATTGTAAAAAGATTACAATGGATTCGATTGTTAACCTAATACTTTTTCAGTCAGACGACAGGTTTAGATGTGGTAAAATAAAAGGTAGGTGTTTTGATTAGTCCAAGTTCTGGGACATTTCCATTTCTAGAAATGATATGGTAAAGAACATAACAGATGATATTAGGAGTTCCAGAATGTAAAAAAAAATCAGCGTACATAGAAATTGTGGCCTGTTGCAATGGTGTCGGTGGGGAAAGAGAACAGAAAACACGATGCTGTGTACATTCTTTGATTAAGATATAAATGTCTTTTCTATGACTGGTTTTAATTTATTCGCTGTTATAATATACAAACCTTCCCTGTAAACAAATGTTTAAATTCTAAAGAAAGGGAAACATTTAAAGGTGTATCAGTATTAGTTTAACTCCAGAAGTAATCTCTTATTGCAGCAGATGCTATATCTATTGTCCTGGCTTGTAAAATGGTCTGTTCCTTGCAACTTCCATGCAATGTCACTGTGTCATTGTACAAACATAAAGTGCACACTTGTGTGTGATGAATCTTCTGGAAAATGCTGCATGTTTTATTTTTAACCCCTATTTTGTGCTGGAATGGCCTCAGCATTGTTTATACCTTTATATGAAATTTGATTCTGCCATTTGTATGAGGAAATAACATCAGAGCTAAAATAACCAACTATATATTATACATGCATCTGTAGATGGAGGTGATTTTCTGATGCAGTGATAGTGTCTCTGCCATCCGACCAGAAGCTCTGGATTGAATTCTCACTTATTGGCCATTGGAGATGCTCTCTAGTATGGTCAAGCAGCTTGATTATCAGCCTGTAAGTTCTTCCACTGTGCCTGATGATAGCTAGTAAGAGTTGGACAGTTTTCTGATGAACCATCCTGCAGAAGGCAAATTACTGCTATACTTTGCTGTTAAATGTGGAGCAATCCTTGGAGATGAGGGCAGGAAAAATGATAGAAAGAGACTCAAGAAGATGCACATAGCAAATCTAAAAAAAAAACTGCAGTAAGACCAAGTGGATTTGGCCCGCTATTGTGAGGAATCGCTCACCTGCTGTATTGTCAATCATGAATATTGTGAGGCTTAGCAAGGTGATAGTGTGCTGACAGCATCTTTCATTTTATTTTGTAAATGTGATATACCTTTTAAAATGAAAACAATATCCATGTAGTTGAGAGGCAAAAGCAAATAAGCTTGGATAATGTATACAGAAAGTGCCGGAAAAGCTTATCAGATCTGGCAGCATCTTTGGAGAGAGAAAAGCAAAATTAACAATTTGAATCAAATATGAAGTTTTCCAGCACTATCTGTTTTTATTTCAGATTTCCAGCATTTACAGTGTTTGCGTTCATTCAGATAAGCTTATTCTCAGTTTGCTTTTAGTGCTGCTCTTCATTGGTTGTGAAGTAATGTTGCTAGATTAGTTCTGCTAGATTAGTGTGGGTTTGAATCCTGCCATGAAAGCTGGTGGAACTTGAATTCAATTAAAATCTGGAATTTTTAAAAAATGCTAGTCAAATGGCACCATGTAACCATTGTCAATTGTTGGAAAACCCATCAGGTTCATTATAATGTTCTTTAGGGAAGTGAATCTGCCAGCCTTACCTGATCAGGCCTACATGCACCTCCAGATCCACAGCAATGTTTTGACTCTTAACTGCTCTCTGGACAATTAGGGATGGGCAATAAATGCTGGCCTAGCCATCGATGCCCTCATTCCATGAAAGAATAAAGGAGCCAAGAAGAAGGTGCTCGACATAGACCCAAAGATGGGTTTACCTTACCTCCATTCCTCCTCCCTCCACCCTCCCTATCCTCAAGGCAAATGTTCCACTTGGTGTTTCCTGTCTTTTTACAACTTTGTGAGTAAAGTGTGAATCACAAGGAATGTAAAGTGCAATCACGGGCATATTTAACACTGTGGTGCTAGCATTACCTAACTGGATGATGACTTGTTAAGCACTTTCAAATTCATCATTGGCATGGTGGCTCAGTGGTTAGTACTGCTGCCTCACAGTGACAGGGACCTGGGTTTGATTCCACCCTGGGGTGACTGTCTGTGTGGAGTTTGCACATTCTCCCTGTGTCTGGTTGTGTTTCCACAGGGTGCTCAGGTTTTGTCCCACAGTTCAAAGATGTGCAGTTTGAGTGGATTGGCCGTGCTAAATTGGCACGTAGTGATTAGGGATGTGCAGTCTAGGTGGACTAGCCCTAGTAAATGTAGAGTTATGTGGATTGAGTGGTGGCGCTGGGTCCAGGTGGAATGCTCTTTGGAGGGTCATTGCAGACTTGATGGGCCAAATGGCCTCTTTCTGCACTGTAGCATTTTTACTATTCTATATAGCAGATCAGAGAATATTCAAAGGGCATTTATATGTATAATAACCATTAGTTATAGCCGCTGTGATATCATTCCCTCAGACAAATATCTGACTTATTATGGGAGAAGGTGCAAATAATACTGGTTGTATTCTAGCAGCAAAACAGGGATTAAAAGTAGGACGGGACGTTTTCTTAGAGATTTTCATCAGACATTGAATTCTGGAAACTTTTGTAATAACTGCTTGGATTATAATCACTAGTCTGAAACAAGAAGGTGGACAATGTTATAAATTCTGCTTAAGTCTGAATTTTGACATGTAAATCTTCTTCAGGTGCTGACTGCCTCCTGCTTATGTCTATACCTTTTGCATTCTTGTGTATGTAATGTAACTATAGCTTAAAAAATGTTGACTTGTTTTCATCACCACATAAAATAGACCTGTGGGAATATTTTTTGCGTTATCATTTACATCTATGCAATCTGCAGGCTGACAAGATTGAATCAGATTGAATTCTTATTTTAAAAGAAAATTGAATTACTCAGTCTCCAAAATTTACCTTTCCAATTGAACCTTCCAAATTACCTTTACATATTAATACCAGTGAAGGTCAGGGACTTTTGTTACATGAAGAAACCAGAGACCCTGCATTGTTCTCCTTTATTGTAGAGAAGTTTAAGATGAAATTTAATAGACCAGTTTGAAACTTAGGAGGTGTTTTGATCGAGTAAGTAAGGAGAAACTGTTTCCACTGACAGGGGTGGTCAATTATCAAAGCTAATTTAAGGTAATTATGAAAGGAACCAAAAGTGGCTAATAGGTATTTTTTTCACATGCTGATTTATGATCATATTCTGGTATGCACTGCCTGAAGAAAGGAGGAGCAGACTCAATAGTAGCTTTCAAAAGTGAATTGGATATAAACTTGAAGGGGAAAAAATTCAGGGCTATGGGAACGGAATGGGAATTTGGAATAAACTGGCACAGACGTGATGGACTGAATGGCCTTATTATAGTCATGTAAGATACTCTGATTCTATGTTTATACCTGTAATTATAACTTCGTGAATTTGTAATAACTGATTTCAGGACTGTGACCCTTGTGAACTCTACATGGTGTCAGCAGTGAACAGCTGGTCCATTTCAACAGAGTTGCTTCACTTAATCTATTTCATAAACAAAAGTTCCATTATTAAAAAATCCAGAATATTCCTCACCTGATGCTTGTGCTTCCATTACGAAACTCAGTTCCTGGCACTGTTTGTGAAAGGCATCTGCAGACTGATGTTAACTTGATATTTGTGTTAGGCTTTACATGCGCTGTGAAGGTGCACGCCACATTGTTTAGCTGAAGCTCACACACAATTTAGCGCACAAGGAGATTTGCCATGTCAGTTTGCTTCACAAACTAATGGTGAGTGGCTTGGAGAGGAACTTAAAGGTGGTGCTGTTTCTAGGCATCTGCTGCCCTTGTCCTTCTAGATGGAAGTGGTAGTGGGTCTGAGAGTTGCTGTCTAGGGGGCCTTGTTGAATTTAATCAATGCATCTTGTGGATGGTACACATGGCTGCTATTGACGAAACTTAATTTACAGTTATGCCACTTGTGGGATTATCTTGCTGACTAATGTCAGAAATTGATTTGAAACAATTGTTGGGAAGCAAGCCAATCTGTTTCACAGTTTTTGAGTGATGAAATTGACTAACATGTTCACACAAATCCATTGCTACCCCCAATCCCCAAATAAATCTATATTAAAACGTATGATTACTTAAAACTACGTGAGTTTGTTTAAAGTATAGTCTTTGTCTGCGAATTTTGTCAGAAGTCACATGACACCAGGTAATAGCCTTTGACGATGGAGCTATGCTCCGAAACCTTGTGATTTCAAATAAACCTGTTTGGAGTATAACCTGGTGTTGTGGGATTTCTGACTTTGTCCACCCCACGGCACCTCAACATCATGTGAATTTTGTGTTAGCAGTCTCTCAATTTATAGGCTTCTTGCCTGTTGAGTAAGAAAGTTCTCAGAACCTGAGCACCAAAATCCATACTGTCACACAGGTGGAATACTGAGGGAGTGCTAAACTGATGGAGGTGCTTTCAGGTAAAGTGTTAAATCAAAGCCTCTATTGCTCTATAACAGTATATTTATTTTTATCATTCATTCATGGTATCTGACTTCACTTGCTGGGTTAGCATTTATTGCCCATCCCCTATTGTCCTTGGTGAAGTGATGGTGAGTTACTTTCTTGAGTCACTGCAGCCTCTTTGGGATACGTACCCGTACTGGCTTGTAGAGGACCTTGCAGGTGCTGGTATTACCTTGTATCTGCTACCCTTGTCTTATTCTAGGTGAAAATAGTTGTACGTTTGGAAGGTGCTGTCTAAAGAGCCTTGGTGAACTTTTGCAGTGCATCTTGTAGGTAGCGTACACTGCTGCTACTGAGCGTCGGTGGTGGAGGGAGTGAATGCTTGTGGATGTGGTTCCAATCAAGCGGGCTGCTTTGTCCTGGATGGTGTCAGGCTTCTTGAGTGTTATTGGAGCTGCACCCATCCAGGCAAGTGGGGAGTATTCCATCAAACTCCTGACTTGCGCCTTGTTGTTGGCTGACAGGCATCAGGGAATCATGAGGTGAGTTACTCACTGCAGGATTCCTAGCCTTTGAACTGTTTGTATAGACACAGTATTTATATGGTTTGTCCAGTCCAGTTTGTAGTCATTGGTAACACCCAGGATGTTGATGGTGGAGGATTCAGCAGTAATAGTGCAATTGAATGTCATGGGGGCAGTGGTTAAATTCTCTCTTGTTGGAAATGGTCATTGTCTGGCACTTGTGTGATGCAAATGTTACTTGATACCTATCAGCTAAACTCTGGATGTTGTCTGAATCTAGCTACGTTTGGATATGGATAATAAATTAATGGCACAAATTTTGAAGAAGAGTAAGCAGGTTATCCTGATATTCTGGCCAGTGTATATCTCAACCAACAACACACAAATAGATTTTCTAGGCAATATCCCAGTGCTATTTGTAGAAGCTTGCTGTGTGCAAATTGGCTGCTGTAGTTCCTAATTCCTACGAGGATCTCATTGGCTGTAAAGTGCTTCGAAACATCAGGTCATCACAAAGTGTGCTAAATCTTACATAGAAAAATAATTATCCAAATGCTGTCATAAAATTTCAGCCCACTGTTGTGAAGTATGCAAGAGGGAAGCCAACAAAGCTATTTTCTGTGTATTATCTAGCATTTGCTATGTTCAGATGGGTAAAAAAGTGATCAACACAGAACATTCACTCTCAGCACAACCTGGCTTTAGCTGGATAAAAGTGATGGCCAGAAACTGTCGAACATTTCTGTTACCCTGTAACATCGAAAGATTTGATTTCGACCCGGATTAAAGGTAGCAATAATACAATATTCTCAATTGCCAAATTCCAGCTCCTCTTTACCCATAAGACCATAAGATGTAGGAGCAGAAGAAGGCCATTCAGCCCTTTAAGTCTGCTCTGCCATTCACATCCCACTTTCCTGCCTTTTCCCTATAACCCTTGATTTCCTTACTGATGAAAAATCTGTCTGTCTCAGCCTGGAATGTATTTGTTTTGACTCTCATCCGTGAGCAGCCTGCGGATGGACATCAGTTAGCATGATGGGCCATCATAGCATAAGTGGAGTTAGGGTGAGCAGCTCTGACGTACCTGTGGCAATTGTAATGAGGTCTGTAGGTGGACCTCAAGAATATAGGGGGTGTTAATCTGGTTCAATCAGGGAGCCCCAGCTAACAGATAAGAACAGGAATGTCCTGCTCACTCTGAGAGCTGGCTCTGAGGGAGCTGGATCAGTGTCAAGGACTCTCCACGTATGCATAAAGGTTGATTTGGTGATGGGATACTAGCCACTGTGGAGTTATTTCACTACCTATGAGGGGAGGTCATTCACTAAAGCAGTAAATTTAAGACTACATTCTCTATCTATTATCGTCAGACTTATAATACTAGTGCACCACTAACCCCCAATCTGATCTAGCCAAAGAATAACTATGCTGTACCAATAAAGAAGATGCCATGCTTGTTCTGCACCTGTATCGAATTATGCCAGTCTGAAGAATAGTGGCAGAGATAAAATTGGACTCAGTGACAGAGATGGGTGAAAATCCCTTTTGGGGGTTATCTTGTTGGAAGTGTTTATGGATGTTTGAGGATGAGATT